GTTTGTACCTATGTTATTTGCTTATTATTTCTTGCCTATATCTTATAATATGAGAAACTACTTTGGCAGTAACAATACACAATGTACTAACCATTAAAAAAAAATTTAACCCTAATCTACCCTCCCCCTAGTTATATGCCACTTCTTCCCACATACCATATGTATAACCACACTGAACTTAACTTTTTCAGAGGATAAAATGCCTCTTGCCTCTTTAAAGCCATATGCAGTGGAGCAGTCTCTTATGTTTATAAAGTCAGCACATTATGTGAGATTTGCATATATCCCAAATGACCCTAGAACAGTGGTGGCAAACCTATGGCACGCAGGCCACGCTGCTCTCTGTTATCAGTGAAAGCTCTAAGAGGATCGCTATCACTGCCCTAGAACATCACTTATGAAGATGGTATATGGGAGACCAACAGGTCAGCTCTCATTAGGCCCAAGATAGCCACCCTTCCCCATTCTGAATGGCAACAGTGACCACTTCTTCAGCTGAACATGAAATGAAGTAGCTGGGTTGTATTTAGGGGCCATATTTTATGAAAATTCATCTTCGAACACCACAATCCCACTTTATAAGCTTGGTTGCTAATACAAGAACAAAGGATAACTTTAGAAAAGCAGGTTTATGTCTCTCATCTCTCAGAGGCATACACGCTAAGTAGAAAGGGTACAATAGCTTGCCCACAACCCTCCACAGGAGCATGGTTGATTTTCTGTGATGAAGTTCTACTACCCTTATCATACAGCCAAGTAATCAATTTTTTAACCTCCGTGCTTCCAATTAGACTAACGTCCTCCGCATCCTCAGAGCCTAACACACTGCATGGTACAGGGCAGATGTCACTAAATCCTTACTGAATGAATCACTCACAGTATAGGCTCCCACATCCTGACTAAAATACGAAAACTAGGGGCTAGGGAGATGGCTCAGTTGAATAAGCGCTTCCCTGGCAAGCGCAAGGGCCTGAGTTCAAGCCCTGGCTCCACAAAAAAAAAAAACCAAAAAAAACCAACAAAAAACACCCAATAAAATATGAAAACTACCTTGCTGTACAGCACAACAGTACAGTTCTGTTCACAGGTTAACTTTTCTTGGGGCAGCCACTCTTGTGGGCTAGGTTCAATACTGTAAGTAATTACCGTACTTGCTGATTGTCTCCTGCCTGTTTTCAGTCAACGGCCTGGCTTGTAGCTCACTGGTGGGGGAGCTTCCTAATGAGACCTGTACCTTTGCCTGTTTAACAAAGGACCTTTTAACATTTATCTAAGCTCTTGATTCATAAAACATTATCTTGAGAATAACTCACTGGAAGTGCTACTACTAAAAGAGTGAAAAAATTCTAGTAAAGTCTGAAAAAGTATTTGCCTGGCAAGTGCAAGGGCCTGAGTTTAATCCCTGGTTCCAGAGGGGGGAAAAATGGGGGCTGGGGAGATGGCTCAGTAGAATAAGCACTTGCCTGAAAAGTATTTGAGAAAATATTTAAGAAGAATTTCTTTTCATAAGTGAGACTGGTCATTTTCCAATTCTGTGTCACCTTGTTTTTACATCAGTGTTAGGTTATTATCTTACAATGAGTTAAGCATATGATCTTTTACATGTACACACATACATGTGTGTGCTTTATATTTAACATGGGAAAAAAGGAACTAGTGAGTTCACTCACCTTTACTGCATTTCCACCACCTTTGGGGCCCTGAGCCTTCTTGTCAGCACTATCACTCCCTGAGGCTGCTCCCCCTTTAGAGAAGAGGTAACAAGTAGTCATGAAATCGTACCTTCATATTTACAGCAAGGCCCAACACATAGCATAAGCAGATTTGCGTCATAGCACCAAGTTCCAAAAAGGAAACTCTTGCCAGATACTTTACTACAGCAAGCTAAATCAATCTGTGACTCATATCTCTCAAAACAGGAAATTCATGTCCTACGTAAACACTGCATGGAAAAGGGATCTATAGATGGGTATGCTAATGGGTGAGTTCAAGCTCCCAAAGCTGGCGCCAGATTTTTCTGGATCCAATTTCAAATCATGCCCCCTAAGGGCAAACCCCTAAGCTCTTGTAAGATTTCTAATATGTATTACAACTACAGATTCAAGCATTCACAAATTGAATAAGTAAAATCTCCAAGAATGTTAAACATATTTGACTGAAGAATATATTCATTTCCAAATTCCCAGAATTTGCCTATTGAAGTCTAAGAAGTGGCACTGGTACTCAGATTAATAACGACTGGTAGCAGCTTACATTTTGCTCCTGTTAACTTCTGTCAGAAGCAGCATACTGTTAGACAGGATGATGATCCTAAGCAACATAGCCAGGTTAAGTGTCCCTAAGTAAGTACTAAGGTCCAGGCATTGGAGGTACAGAGAAAAAAAGGAACAAACCACGGGAACTCAAACTCTAGTGAGGAAGCCATCGCTTCTGAAGAATGTAGCAGGTGCAGAGAGGGTTAAGCACAGAGAGCTATGGAGGCAGAGAGGGCCTCTTTTTTTTTTTTGGTGGAACTGGGGGTTGAACTCAGGCTCTTGCACTTGCCAGGGAAGCGCTTATTCTACTGAGCCATCTCCCTGGCCCTGAGAGGGACATTTTAACCAGCAGGCAAGGCTTCCTGGCTAACCAGGAGCTAACTAGCTAAAGACGACACTGCAGGATGGGACAAACTGCATGAGTAGTAATTGTAAGATGAAGCCAATTTGGGGGTAACAGTGCCATCAGATGAACCAGCTAGGAGAAGGAGCTGAGCATCAAGACAAGACTACTTTTAGATCCCCAAACTTGTTTTGTTGTTGTTTTTAATAGTGCTGAGGATTGAATTCAGTGCCTCACAAGTCTGGCAAGCATTTTATCACAGAATTATATCCCTAGCATGAAACTTGGAATTTATTTTAGAAGTAATAGGAAGCCAGGTAAAAGTCTCAAGCAAGAGACTATTTTACTTGTCTTAGTACAACTTAAGCATCCCTAACGTGAAAAATCGGAAATCCCTTTTGGCTTTTGAGCTTAGATACTCAACTGTAAAGTCTATATGCATACCCCTGGATTCACATAACTTATCTGAAACACTTCTGGTCAAAAGCATTTTGAATAAGGTATATCCAGTCTGTATCTCCAATGCCTAGAACAGTGCCCGACAAAACAGGTACTCAATAAATGTTTAATTCACCAGAAAAACCCCAAACACTGACTACTAAAACACTAAGAAAATATTACTGCCAAAAGTTTTATTAACTCAAGCTATTATTGGGGTTTGCTATACATACTTTTTTTCAGTATGGATTGAGCTGAGGCCCTCCTGCATATCAAGCAAGTGCTCTGCTACCAAGTCACATCCCCAGTCCTTTTTATTTTTTGAGACAGGGTCTTGTCTTGCTAAGTTGCCCAGGCTGGCTTTGAATTTATAATCTTCCCGCCTCCCTCTCCAGAGTAGCTGGGATTAGGGGTGTGCACCACTGTGCCAAGCTGTGCTCGCTCTTGAAAGCTGACACCTTACAGCAACCTCCTGGTCACAGTCCTCTAACTGCACCTCTCTGTGATTTACTCAGGTCTCGGATATCTAAGGTTTCTCTCCACCCTCACTTCTGCCATCATCTTGGGTGACCCCACCACCCAAGTTGAGGAATCTCACCCAACAACTTGAATTCCAGTTTGCACCCAAATGCCCATATTCTCTATTGCAGGCCTCCTGCCTCAGGGGAACAAGACAGAACGGTGCCACTCAGAACTAGTGTTTAGTTCCTGCCTACAACCTCTTCTTCCAGCTTTCTTGTGCCTCAGTCTCATGATGCTGGCTCTTTGACTCCACAGAATACCACTGCCATCAAGTCCTCTTATTCTGCTAAGTTTCCAGTCAAACCTCTGTCCCAGTCTGGACCACGCTTGCACATCTGAACTGCATTCCCACTACACCCTTTATTTCTTTGGTGCTGCTATCCTATTATAATGGCCCAATAAAACCCCAACCCTGGCTCTAGCTACACCTAGGTCTTTTCAATTCTATACTATACAGTTGCAAGGTACTAGATAAATTATGACGGTGTAGATCATGCCTTCTACGAATTCATGGCCTTTAATGTCAGCATTCTAGCCCTGAAGGCAATTCCTGTATTCGTTTTTCATTTCCTCTTCCATCACCATATTCCAAACCTTTACCACTCTACTCAAGAGCCCTACTGGGTCCCTTCACCCCTCAATCTTAAAACTTGCCTTCATTTAAAAATTTGGGTCAACAAACACAATCTCACGAAGTTCACCTCTTCCTCCGTCCTGGCTCCAGTACTTACAACCAAGCATGCCCTGTCTCCTTCTCTACGAGCAACATAAAACTTCTAATAAAGAGTCAGAGGCTCTACCTCACTCCTGCACTCCCATTTTCTCCAAAAGACTATTCTGCTGTACCTTCGCCTCTTTTACTTACTGGATCCTTTACCTCAGCCTCACTCTCAAGTTTTCCTTCTCTGAAGAAACAACAAATTTCTCCTAATCCTTCATCATTTTCTACCTACCATCGCATTCTCAAGTTTTTCAGTTAGAACTTTCCAGAGAAGTTCACACCGACTATGTGCAGTGTACCACTTCCCAGTCCCTCAGTCCTCTAGTCAATGAAATCTGGCTCCTGCCTTTCCAGCCTTTTGCCTAAAGCCACCCCTAATTTTAAAATCCAAACAGTACTGTTTTCATTTCTCTTGGTTGCTTTGCTGTGCTTGATGTGATAGTTCTTTAAAACATTCTGATTTCATTCTACTGCATTTCCTTATCTTCCTCTCCCCTGGATTCCACACTATTATTTAAGTCTGGGCCACCACCTTCTCTCACCAGGACCACTGCAACAACCTCCTTGCAGGCCTTCCGACCCGTAAGCAAACTTCGTGGCATCATATATGACATCCTACTTTTGTTTGGGGCTCCTGTCCCAGCAACAATATACTGCACACATCATGCTGTTTTTCACCCTGCTGCCCTTGCTGTGGGATCCTGTCGGGAATGCTCCACTACCCATCTTGGCACGAAGAACTCATCTCTATAATCTTCCCTTCCCAGTTCCTCAGCTAGATGAAGCCCTTCGTCGGTTTACATAGTAGTATTTCACCTCATTAAAATGAATAAAAATTACCAAAAAAGTCTCTCAGCACTGCGTTTAATACAGTATTTTATGGTCACTATGCTATCTTCCCCACTATTCTGGGGACTCCAAGATGTCTCTTTACAGCCTAAGAGATCCTAGAAGTGACAGCCCCACCCACGTCATGGCCTCTGAGAAACGACCCTTACTAGCTTGTAGAACCCATCAGGATGGCCTGTGCATCGCACCTCAATATGTTCCTACAACTCCAAAGAGCACTTGTTTTTTCTAAGCCTCATCGCAGCTCTAGACTTAAAGGCTGACAGCCCCTTAGGCCGACTGGCCACCGGCTGCCTCCGTCTAGGACCATGACAGTCGCCTGCCTGCTCCTTTCCCCTGCTTCACTCGCCTCCGCTGCCCCGGATTGTTTCGACAGCTCTACCTTTCCCCCCTTTTCCAGAACCACTTTTTCCTTTGGGCGGCATCTTCGGAATTCGCCGTTGTACTCGCTACTACGTCGACGTAGAGAAGCCCCTTGAGGTCCCCGGGTGCGTCTTGCATGACGCCTGAAAGTAGCCCTGTAACGGAAAGCGTTCTACTCGTGGCTCCGGAGCAGGCATAGCTCGGGACAGACCCAGCTCACTGGCTCTTGGACCAATCGGGTTAAAGACGTTTGACCTCAAAGAAACAGGAAGTGGGGTCGAGGGGCGGAGACAAGGGAGGGGTTGCGGCGCTAAAGCCCGCCTCTGCGTTTTTTAAATTCAGGTTTTCTTTTTCTGAGACAGGGTCTCCTTATGTAGTTCAGGCAGGCCCCGAACTCACTATATGGCCCAGGCTGCCCTGGAACTCGCGGTGATCCGCCTGCGTCAGCCTCGCGAGAGCTGCGCTCCTGGTTTCAGCCGGCCTTATTTACACCGGTTTTTTCTGCTCCTCTTGCTCCTCCGCCCACTTTCTTCGCGCGTGCGCAGTGAGAGCCCTGGGCCTCTGCAGTCCCTCGGCGCTTGGGTTTAGCCAATCCCGGAGCCCCAGACAAAGAGAAAATAGAAGAGCGTTAGACCCCGTCGCCCCTGCATTTCCGCCCTCCACACAATCCTGCCTTCTCTGGATGTTTTTCGTTTTTAAATTTTATATTGCAGCTGTAACTGGTTGAATTTAAAAGGTGGTTTTTTAAATAAAAGTATCACCTCTCTTCCCTTTGTCGAAATTCGTCAAGGAGAAATATTGAAGGCAGTCTAAATACTCTTTTTTTTTTTTTTTTTGGCGGAACCGGGGATTGAACTCAGGGTTTTGCGCTTGCCAGGGAAGCGCTTATTCCACTGAGCCATCTCCCTGGCCCCGAAGGCAGTCTAAATACTCTTACAGCACTAGAGTGGCACCTCGGCTCACGAACTCAATTCTCTCTACGATTCTGGTCGCGAACTGAAGTGGACAAGCACCAAATCAAATTTCTCCATAAGGTCAATAATGAACCTAGCCATTGAATTTGATTTGGTTCTTGTCCAGTTCGGTTTGTGACCAGAATCATGGAAAGAAGCAAGTTTGTGAACCGAGGTACAATTGCATTTAAGTAGTGTTTCAGCCACACAAAAGGGTAGTATAACGCTATTTAAAAACAACAGTTTAAGATTTTTGAACCATTTTGGGTCCAGGCTACTGCTTTACTATAAAATCAACGCCAACTAAGATCTGCAAAAATAATACTGTAGAATGACGGTTGGAAGGCTATGTGTACAGATTAGGGAGTCTCTGTCTCCAAAAGCCAATAAGTAAATAAATAAATAAATAAATAAAGGATTGGGGATGATGTAGCTCAGTTCGAAAGACTTGAGTTCAATCCCATAGAATAAAATAAATAAATCCAGGAGTGCTGGCACATGTCTGTAATCTGCACTAGGAGGCTGGGTCACAAGAACGCAAATTGGAGTTAGCTTGGGCAATTTAGTGACTTTTTGAGAACTTGGCTCAAGATAAAACTTAAAAAGGGCTGGGCAAGAGGGCAGTAATCCCAGCATTTAGGAGGGCAAGGCAGGAGGATTGCTGCAGATGAGCAGCCTAGGCTATGTAGTGAGTTCATGACCAGCCTGAACTACATGACAAGACCTTGTCTCAAAAAATGCATACATGCCTGGGGGATATAGCTCAGTTTGAAGGCCCTGGGTTCAATCCCCAGTTCTTTGCACACACTGTATGGATTCTGGAACCAGATTGCTTCGTTTCAAATTCATCACCATCTGTCTACTGGCTCTGTGACCTGGAGGAACTTATTTCACCTCTCTTGGGCTCAGTGTCAGCACCCATGAAATGAAGTTGATGAAAATAGTACCTACACTGCATTAAGAGAGTTAAACAAGATCTTGTTTGTAACATATGAAAGACAGTGTCTGGCTCATAGTGTTAGCTGAAGACGGATGAGGTTTGACTTGGTGCTTCCAGATTTTTTCTCCCTTTACTGAAACTCTCCCTCCTCCACCAGTAATTTGTATATAGTGTCTGCTTTTCCTGCATTCCATGAGACAGCTGGCCCAGCTTGCCACTGCTAGCCGAAATACATAGTTCCACCAGCTTGGAGTGTAGGGTTTGCCTTTCTTTGGTGCTGAGGATGGAAGCCGAGCCTCAGGCCCATCCAGCAAGCAGCTCTGCTGCTCAGCCACACTCGCAGCTCCTGTTGCTTCCCCCCTCAGTACTGGGAATTGAACCCAGTTGTATTTACCACATTCTACCAAACCCCTTTTATTTTTATTTGGAGATAGAATCTGTTTTTTTTTTTTTTTTTTTTTTTGCGGAACCGGGGATTGAACTCAGGCCCTTGCGCTTGCCAGGGAAGCGCTTATTCCACTGAGCCATCTCCCTGCCCCCAGAATCTAGTTTTTTAATAAAATATTTTTTTTGGAACTGGAACTGCTTCATGCCCCAGCCAGAGGCACGTATTTTCAAGGCTGGAGCCGTCCCCAAATCAAACCTAAAAGGAGCCCCTTACGCTGCACTAGTATGACTTCTGAACACATCTTGGCCACTGTTTGTTTTGGGTGGATATAGGGAGCCCTTCCTGGTCCTCACCTCAGTCTGGGAAGTTTACATTTGTAATCCCATGGATAAGTTATTGGAATTCCGTCAAGTTAATTCCAATCTACCACTTCCAGAGCAACCCACGATGAGAATAAAGACACTAAGGCATATTTATAGTTATGGGGAACCAAGGGGTCCTAAGTCCAGCCATGGTGATGGCTATCTGCAACAAAGGCCTCGACCCAGGGCCGACCCTGAGTTTTCATGCAGTCATGAAGGAGGGGTGGCTTGAGGAATGAATGATTCAGAATTACAGGAAGTCCGTGAGTGCTGTGAGCTGGGCCAGGTAGGAGGCCTGCATTGACCTCTACGATATGCAGAGAGGATATGCAGGGAGTAATCTGCATTCCACAACTGAGATAGTATCTAATGCTTTAGGGTCTGCTTCTTTTTTTTTTTTCAGTATGGAGGACTGAACTCAGGACCTTAAGCTTGCCAGGTAAGCACATATTCTACTGAGCTATCTCCCAGGCCCTTGATGTGTACTCTTTGAAACCCCAGGAAGTCACAGCTTGTATCTAGAGGCTCAATCCCAGTCAACAGCATGGAGCATTGGCTCTTTGTCCTGTCTCAACCCAGCTTGTATTAAAGAGCAGCAGGTGGGGGGAGGTTACCAGGGAAACACAGGTGCTGTGCCCTCTTCAAAGACTACCACCAGCACCTCGGCTAGACCAATATGCATTGCTTAAGCCAAATGAAGGGATAAGCATAAGTCCTAGCCAGCTCTGTACACATCAATACGTGGAAACAGGGGCAGGCACAGCCAAAATGGAGACAATGGCTCTTCTTTCAAGGAGAGCTGCTCGGCTGGTCCTCCACAGGTGGGGGTGACCAGCTGCGGAGAATGCAGTCAGTGCTGAGGCAATATTTGCTCCCCCATATTTCAGGCAGCTCTCACTACTGTACTGCCTTTCCAGATCCAGACTGGGTTTGGGGACTGAAAGTGACAGTGTGGCTCATGACCAGGAGCCCTAGGGGGCTTCTTCTGGTTTGTCACTGAGAAGAGCGTTTCCTGTGACTAGCAGCTGTGGCAGTCATGGAGTAGAAATGAAAACAACAACAACAACAAACCATACACAAAAAACCCGAGAGTTTACAGCCCACTAAACAGTTAACCTGAATGGCTGATGTACCTAGCAAATACTTAGTGCCTAAAGCATTACTGAGGCTGCATGCATTTCAGCGGAAGATAACAGAAGCAATGGCTGCGTACATAGCTAAATTTGTCCAAGCCATGCCTAATGGCCAGCAGCTCCAAAGAGAAAAAGATGGGTGTAGGTCTTCTAGGGGCTCAAGGTCAAAAGCATTTTAAGACAGCGAAATACAAAATCATGTACGATCTCAACTACGCAGTACGTATTGCAGAAAGATGAGATGGGAAATAAACAAAATTTTCATTGTTCTAAAATGTCAGCTTATGCCTAATGTCCATTTTCTTCTGTTTATAGCATATTCTGTTGCTTGGCATTTTTTTTTATTACTTAAGTAAAAAGGCAATAAATATTATGGGATAAATAAACAACAAAAAAAGACAGCTTCTCTACAGGGTTAAGTCTGCACCAGTCTTTGGAGGCAGACTGTGGGGGAGTCTGTGAAGCAGAGTGACAAATTAGCTGAGGAGAGGGCAAAGAGAGCAGAGAGGAGGAAGATTCAGCCTTGAAACCATGGTAACATCTGCTGGAGTGTGCGAGTGACTCAGAGCCGGTAATGGCTGCCAATTGTATTTTCTGCTAATTATCTTCTCAGACTGAGGCTTCTACGCATTACTTAAACAAGGATAATCAGGAAGGGGAGCTGGCAGCACTCTTCCAGTACAAAGGTTCACACACCAGACTCACCTCCCCACTCTACCCGCTCCCCAGCGAAGGGCTCATGGTGTCCTTCCTGTCTGAGAGAGAAGCAGAGCTTATTCTGAAAGGGCAACTTGAAGCAACAAAGCAGACACCTCGTTGATCGAATTCACAGGTGGTCAGTGAGGGGAGCTGTGGGCCCCAGCCTCAGGGGACAAGGACAGAAAGTAAACCATGGAGAAAGGATCAGAAAATGGTGGACGAGATGAGCTCCTGCAACAGGAACCACTCGCCACGGCCCATGGCTGGGCATCTGGTGCTGATGGGGCTCACGTGGCCCCCCAGTACAGCCACTTGGTGCTACTGTAACAGGGCGGGCATGAGGTATTGAGGCTTCAAGTGACTGATTTTTCAAAAAGAGCTTCGGAAAAGACTCCATCCAAGTTCTTCCAGCCCTATATAAACCCAAAAATAAATAAACACTGGAGTTTCTGAAGACACGACTATTCCAGATCTAGTGGGGAGGGTTTTTTTTTTTTTCAGAGATAGTGTTCATTTCGAGACCGTGGAAAAGAGTGAGCACAAAAGGCTTACATACTCTATGGGCAAGGAGCTTTCCTCCATGACATCTTTTTGGCTTGTGTTGTCATTTTGCCTGGTATTCTATGGGGTGGAAACCAGGTCCTCACACACACTAAGCAGGCACACATCCGCTGAGCTACACTCCCAGGCCAGTTCTCCTTTAGTTTTCACAA